GGTTTGCTATTGATATGTTACAAACATTGCAGGATAAGGCTGAAATTTAACTTGTGTTATATTGTTTCTCTTGATTGAACTTAACAGTTTGCTGTGGTTTGCTATTGATATGTTACAAACATTGCATTTCTCTGTCATCTTTTGACCTTAATTATGTTGCTGCTTGTGCATTTGTTTGATATTGACATTTAGTTTTCGTCAGTGTTACCAAACTTTTATAACTTTGTTGTGGTTTGCATTGATATGTTACAAACATTGCAGGATAAGCTGAAATTTAACTTGTGTTATATTGTTTCTCTTGATTGAACTTAACAGTTGTATTTTTAAAGCGAAAGTTGAGTTTCTTCTAGTAGGAAAAACTTTTTTCATGGTTTATGTAGATATTCAAAGTTTCTTCAAAGCATTTTTGCGTCAGTTGTCATCCATCCTAAGGACATGCTATAACTAAAGGTGCAATTTTGGAGCCTTTAAGAGCATTTTTATTTTCTGGATTGATTTTATTTATGTTAGCATGTTGTTAATTGATTAGTAAATATAACTTTAAAATATCACCTAATGGAGGTCTGATTCTACTGAGGATTTTATGATCTAGATTATTATTGTCTAAATTTATAATCTAAATGTCGTATCGTTAACTTGGATGGATGAATTAGATTTTTTTTTTTTTTTTTTTTTTATTTGTGTGTGAAGTCTTCCTCAATGGAATTGAGATTCAGCTTGACTGAAACCACCTAAATCAAAATGATTTAAATTGTGCACATCATCTTCTGAAATGATTTTTTCACTACACTATCTTTGTGCTGGCATTAGTGTGCACTTCAATGATCATAATCTATTTAAATGAGAGGTAGTTCATTCTTCTCTTTGGGCACCTTTCCAGATTTGTACCTAGTTAGTAATACGGGTACGGCAAAAAAAGGGTAGGGAATTTTACGAGTATAATACGGCAAACAGTGAAAAATACTTTTATAAAAATCGGCCATAAAATTCAGTACGGAAAAAATCGGTACGGGTATATACGGTTAATACGGTGCATTGTCAATAATACGTTTTGAAAAATACGCCATATCAATCTAGTTTTAATACTTTTATGGATTACTTGACTAAAATCATATAGTATTTCAAATGTAAAGTATTCAATTAACCAATAACACAAATATATAATATTAACTTATATTTAAATTATAGTCTCCAGACTCAAACACAATATTTAGCCATGACCTTTACTATTAAAACTTGATAAGTTTGATATTAAATCCAACCAATTTTAACTTTCTTTAATCCATTAAATTATTTAAATCAAAACTAAAATTTTGTCTCACTCTATATAAAGATTAGTGTTACAATAGTCTAACTATTATTTTATACCTATATATATGATAGTTTTTTTTTTTCATAATAATATTATTTTAATTTCATTAATCCAATCTAATTTTTAGATAGCATGGAAATAATTTAAAATATAAATGGTTTTGACTCAATATCATAATTAAGCAAATTACTATTTAATTCAAGAAAATTATTCATCACAAAATGAATACAAAGAGGTAGGTGAAAACGTGAACTTTACATATTACTTTGAGTTTAAAATGTAAAGGTGTCAGGTGTGGGGGAATGGCGGGAAGTGATTCTTTGGGCGGGTTAGTTTTTTTATTCCCCCCTTTTAAAACGACGTCGTTTCAATTATTATTATTTTTTTTTTTAAATTCGCGAATAATTCGTGAATTATTCGCGAATTATACGGATACTCCAATAATTCGCGAATAATTCGACAGTCCTTTATAAATACGTAAATACACGTTTTATACGCGAATTATACGGCTGGCCATATAATCCGTAAAACGCGTATTTACTAACTGGAGTTGTACACTTGGAATATCTGTTATTTTCGAACATTCAGCTTCATGATTGCTAAAGATCATGTAAGTTAGTGGAGTTTTTACAGTGGGGTAGTGTATGTCCTTGGGATTTCTGCTAGCAATGGCAGAGAACCATGCTTTGTTTTGCCTCTTGGAATAAAACACTTTGAAAATGGGAAATGCATATGTACAAATTTATACTTCTTGATGAGTAATACTGAACTAATCAACTTCCATTCCGTATCACCATAGCAGCCTTGCCACATCACTTTATGATATTTACAAAATGCAACAGCCCTTATCTTTCCAATTACTTAGCATGTTTATGCATGGATATGTACTGTAAATCTATTGCTTTATGTTGTATAAGAAAATTCTCAGATGTAGACATCCACATTTCAATATAAAAGTTTATCTCAGAATTTGTCTTTTAGTATTAGATTGATAATGTTTAGATACTTGTTCTCATCACTCCACAATTTATTTTTGTTTGTGGCGGCATTATTCTTTTATGTTCTATATTACGTTTGTTGGTTACTTTTGATTATGCTTCAATTGATGGTAGGAAAAAATGATAGAGCTGTAAGATGAAAAACAAGCAGGGGATAAAAAAACAGAAGTTGAAAATGTGAGAAGTTCTGGGTAAAGCTTCTGGATTTAACCAGAATTTTGCATTTTCTAGACTAGCATCAATCAACTGCAGCAGAAGCAGTTAGGTGCATGTGCAACAACAAGAGTTGGAGGAGCAGCTCATCTTATTTGATCAACAGAAAGAGAAAATAAAAGCCTTGAACACCACAATTTGTCTTGTTGGAGATGATGAAGCAGTTAACTATAGCCCTTGAACTACATCATATGTAAAGCTCCAACTCGCACACCATTGCCATCTCCAACTGATACATCGTCCTCATCAGCTACGCTATTTCAAAAACCGCAACTGGTGACACTTGACATGCTAACGGTATTGATGGTTATTTTTTTGTTGTATGGGCAGTAGTATTTTGACATGGGGGTAGAACCATCTTTTAGGATGTTTGCATATAATGTTAGATGGTGCACATAGGGTGGGCATTTTTTTGTTAGCTATGCACGATAGATAAGTAGTGGGGAAAATGTGGGTGCATGCTGTTTTTTTTTTTTTTTTTTTTGTTATCACATGTGATAGTGCATTTTGAATTTTTATTGCTCATCCATGCAATAATCCATCGTATTGGACTATCTATATAAATATACATATATGTATGTATGTATGTATGTATGTATGTATGAAAATATGATATTTGATTTAGTGATCAGATTTTTATATTGTGTCAATTATTTTGTTGATATTGAATGTATAATGTAGGTCAATACGAAATGCTTTAAAAAAAAAAAACACATTCTGCAACTAATTTTTTAGTAGCAAAAAGTAATTTAGCATAATTGCATTTCGCTGAAGGTCAATATGAAATGCTCTAAAAAAACACATTCTGCAACTAATGTTTTAGTAGCAAAAAGTAATTTAGTATAATTGCTTCCACATTCAGCGTCAAAAAAATAGTCGCGAAAACTTATTGGATTCCACATTCAGCGTCTAAAATGACTATAATTAACCACTAAATTTTGGTCAACAAAAGATACATTCGGCCACTAATAAAATAGTCACGAAAACCTATTGGATTCCACATTCAGCATCTAAAATGACTATAATTAACTACTAAATTTTGGTCACCAAAAGATACATTCGGCCACTAATAAAATAGTCGCGAAAACCTATTGGATTCCACATTCAGTGTCTAAAATAACTATAATTAACTACTAAATTTTGGTCACCAAAAGATACATTCAGCCACTAATAAAATAGTCGCGAAAACCGTTCGGATTCTACATTCAGCGTCTAAAAGTATTACAATTAACTACTAAATTTGGGTCACCAAAGATACATTTGTCGACTAATAAAATAGTTGCGAAAACCTGTTACAAAATTACCCTTACACCGTTGGCGTCTAATTTTTGTGACATTCGCGACAAATTATTAGACACTAAAAGGTACATTTTGCAACTAATTGATTAGTCGCTATAAAATTTTACCAAATTATCCTTGAACTATTAGCGTCTAAGCTGGGGCACTATTTTGACCAGCATTTAGCGACTAATTTGCTAGTCCCTAAAAAAATATTTCCCCGTCTAAACAAAAATTTAGACGCGCAAACAATCTACGACAGCGATACTGCAACTAAGGGGCGACTACGAAATTTAGACGCGAAAAATGGCTTAGTGTCTAAATGTTACTTTCTTCGTCTAATTTTGCTAGACACCGAAAGGCATTTTTCTTATAGTGTTATAAACATTATTAATTTACTACATTAGTCATTAGTACATTAATTAAATGGTTAAAAAATCTAATTAATTGTAACATTACATTATAAATTTATAGTATGATTACTTAATTAATTATAATATTAAATTATAAACATTAGTAAAATATTTAATTAAATAATTAGAAATTTAATTAATTATAACATTATACTATACATATATAGTATGATTACTTAATTAATTATAACATTACATTATCATTAAATAATTACTTAATTAATTACAATATTATGATATTACATTATAAACATTAACAATTTATAACATTAAATTAACAATTTACAGATGAATAATTATTTGTGTCTTGGTTTTGATTGAGAAATTTTATGTGAATTGTGATGAATTGATTGAATTCAAGTGTTACCTAGAGATTAGAGGATTTATGAGTTACATTGGGCACAAATGAATGAGTAATCAAATTTTGTTAGGGGTGCATTTATAAACTTTTAAGGTATTTTTGTCATTTTTTAAACGAATAAGGGGTAATTGATTTTTTATAGGGTACCCGGGAAAGGAACCGGAACCTGCATTTTAGGTTCCGGTTCCTTGAATTTAAGAGCCTGCACTGTGCAGTTCTGGTTCTGGTTCTAGTTCCTTTTTTTGGGAACCTGCACTATGCGATTCCGGTTCCAGTTCCAGTTCCCCCGAAAAATGCAGGGTACCCGGAACCGCTCACCCCTAATTTTGACAGTAGATCATGAGGAGGAAATAAGTAATCTCAAGAAATTCCTTGCTAAGGAGTTCGAAATCAAAGACTTTGGAAATCTTAAATACTTCCTCGGAATGGAAATTGCTCGATCAAAAAAGGGAATTGTTGTCTCGCAACAAAAATATGTCATTAATTTATTGAAGGAAACTGGCATGTTTGGCTGTAAACCTGCTGATACACCTATGTACTATACTATAAAGGTGGGAGTTGCAGAAGGAAGTGCTCCAGTTGACAAAGGAAGATATCAAAGACTTATTGGAAAACTTATCTATCTTTCTCACACTAGGTCTGATATCAGTTTTTCTGTCAGCATGGTTAGTCAATTCATGAATAATCCAACTGAGGAACACATGGAAGCTGTTTATCGGATTTTAAGATATCTAAAAATGACTCTAGGAAGGGGATTGTATTTCAAGAAAACACAAAAAAAAGATGTGGAGATATTTACCCACGCTAATTGGGCTAGTTCCATAACTGACCGAAGATCAACTTCAGGGTATTACACATTTGTGTGGGGAAACTTGGTTACCTTGCGTAGCAAGAAACAACTAGTGGTAGCAAGAAGCAGTGCAAAAGCAGAATTTAGAGCTGTGGCACAAGGAATCTGTGAAGGAATTTGGTTAAGAAGACTTTTATAGGAACTGCAAATTCAGTTAGAAGATCCTATGAAGATGTTCTATGATAATCAAGCTGCCATAAGCATTGCAAAGAACCCAGTCCATCACGATCGAACAAAACATGTGGAAATCGATCGACATTTTATTAAGGAGAAGATAGAAGAAGGAATTATCTCAATGGTTTACACTCTAACTACTTTCCAGACAGTCGACATCGTCACTAAGGCTCTTCCTAGAATGAGTTTTGAAGATTTGAGATCCAAGCTGGGTATGACTGATTTCTATAACCCAACTTGAGGGGGAGTGTAGAAAATCATAATCTAATTTACAGTTGTGTAACTACAGCTGGTGTTCAACCTTGATTCTAGTATGAAAATCAGGGATCTTCAGCCTTGATTCTTGTATTAAAATAAGGGATTTTTTATTTCTTTCTTTTTTTAGTTTATCCTAAACTTGTATAAATCTGTTGGAACTCTCCTGCAAATCAGTGAATCACAACAACACACCACACACAGAGCAAAGAACATGCACAAAATATAGGAAATAGCAGATTGAATTAATTAGTATTGAGTGATCATAAAATAGGAACAATTGAAATAACAGACAAATTCCCAACAATTCGAGGAGCTGGGGACCTCCCAATTAGTCTTATGAATATATTTCTTGATATCCTACCTCCCACCCTCTCTCCCTTTTATAAGCTAATTATTCTATTCTGTAACTAATTGACAGCCACGTGTCCATTCTCATAACAACCTCACCAAGCTCTAACAACCCTCATTGCACACCTCACCACCCCTTAACAAACTCACTATCAACGTACCCTCACTCGTATTCCTTCCCCTACCCTTGGATTTATAGACCTTGTGTGTAGGAGGTCTAACAATAGCTCCAATCCCTCATCCCCCCCCCCCCTCTTGAAGTGCCACCTTGTCCTCAAGGTGGAATTGAGGAAATTGGCTGCTGAGGACATCAAGACGCTCCTAGGTGGCATCGAAAGTAGGCAGATTGTGCCATCGGATGAGAACCTCTGTGGAACCATCCAGAAGAGTCCGCGCATCCAACACTTCCGCCGGCTGAACTTGAAGTTCTAGGTCATCCGTGAGACAAGAAGGAATAGGTTGCACGGGAACTGAGCTATGCAAGCTGTGCTTCAATTGGGATACGTGAAAAACTGGGTGAATATGGGCTATTGTGGGCAGTTCTAGCTTGTATGCCACCTGACCAATTTTCTCCAGGACTCGAAAAGGGCCATAAAACCTAGGACTCAGTTTTTCATTCAATCGTGTGGCCAGAGATTTAAATTTGTAGGCTGAAGCCGAAGATACACATAATCTCCAGGCGAAAACTGGATATCCCTTCGATGGCGGTCTGCTTGTTCTTTCATGTGAACTTGGGCCACCTCCAGGTTGTGCTTGAGGTCTTGGAGGATGGGATTTCGCTCACGGATCTGGTGGTTTACTTCGTCGACTTGAGAGGGGTAATCGGTGAACTTAAGGGAGTTAGAGGGGGTGGACGTATGATACGTCGTGTTGTACCAAAATTCTGCCCAGGATAACCAGTTTGGCCATTGACGGGGCTGTGAGCTGCAGAAACAGTGAAGGTATGTCTCTAAGCATCTATTCACCACTTCGGTTTGGCCATCCGTTTGAGGGTGGTAAGCTGAGCTAAATTTCAAAGCTGTCTCGGATACCTTAAAAATCTCTTGCCAAAATTGACTCATGAAAAGTCTGTCCCTGTCAAAAATGATGGACTGAGGAAAACCGTGAAGCTTCACTATATCTTTCATGAACACTAAGGCCACCTCCTTGGCGGCATTNGTGCCACCTTGTCCTCAAGGTGGAATTGAGGAAATTGGCTGCTGAGGACATCAAGACACTCCCAGGTGGCATCGAAAGTAGGCAGATCGTGCCATCGGATGAGAACCTCTGTGGAACCATCCAGTAGAGTCCGCACATCCAACACTTTCACCGGCTGAACTTGAAGTTCTAGGTCATCCGTGAGACAAGAAGGCAGAGGTTGCACGGGAATTGAGCAATGCAGGCTGTGCTTCAATTGGGATACGTGAAAAACTGGGTGAATATGGGTTGTTGTGGGCAGTTCTAGCTTGTATGCCACCTGACCAATTTTCTCCAAGACTCGAAAAGGGCCATAAAACCTAGGACTCGGTTTTTCATTCAATCGTGTGGCCAGAGATTTAAATTTGTAGGGCTGAAGCCGAAGATACACATAATCTCCTGGGGAAAACTGGATATCCCTTCGATGGCAGTCTGCTTGTTCTTTCATGTGAACTTGGGCCACCTCCATGTTGTGTTTGAGGTCTTGAAGGATGGCATTTCGCTCAAGGATCTGGTGGTTTACTTCGTCGACTTGAGAGGGGTAATCGGTGAACTTAAGGAGAATCGGAGGTTCACGACCGTACAAGGCTTTGAAAGGTGTCATCTTGGTGGACCTATGATACGTCGTGTTGTACCAAAATTCAGCCCATGATAACTAGTTCGGCCATTGACGGGGCTGTGAGCATTGACGGGCCTGTGAGTTGCAGAAACAGCAAAGGTATGTCTCTAAGCATCTATTCACCACTTCGGTTTGACCATCCGTTTGAGGGTGGTAAGCTGAGCTAAATTTCAAAGCTGTCCCGGATACCCTGAAAATCTCTTGCTAAAATTGACTCATGAAAAGTTTGTCCCTGTCGAAATTGATGGACTGAGGAAAAACTTGAAGCTTCACTATATCTTTCATGAACACTAAGGCCACCTCCTTGGCGGCATTATAGAAGCAATTTTTGTCCATTAATATTTTTGTTAGGGTGGGCCAAAATCCAAAAATTATATATATTAATATTTAAAAAAAAAAAATTGAGGGTGGGCCAAAAGTGGGCTGGATCCGCCCCTGAATCAGACTGACCTTGTATTTCTCCAGATGCAAAGAAACCTAGTTAGGTAATAATTTCTAAATCATTTAGACTCAGAGAGATTTACTGTAATATCATGACAACCGCTTCTGTTCATTAATGAAAGTCGTTCATTGAAGCAATTAAAGTGTTCATTAATGTTCTTAAGTTTTTATGAGTCTCAACATTGAAGTGGCGTGTTAGTAGTCGCCAAGTTTCTTTAGTACTAGCAAATTAAAGTTAGAGTCCTGTAGGATTTGCTAATTATTACAATTGCTATCTTATTGAAAGTCGTTTATGGCTTTGGCTTCTATGCAGATATGTGACAGGTTCATTAACCGCAAGTTTGTGCAGAAATTTTATAACAGAGTATTAGCTATTGGCCTACAAGGTTATGCACAATTGTATGTATGTGTGACCTTCTTATGCGAAGCTTAAAGTAGGTTTTATGTGATGGTGATGATTTTTTGATAAAATTCTCTTTGGAAAAAATGCTCAATTACTTCTACAACTCGGGTTCACATTATTCTTAACTTTCAACTAATCATAAACTTCTTTTTTTTTCCTTCTGTAGGCATCAATCTATCTTGACTCGTCTTGCTAATTGGGATAACTTTAAAAAAGTAATTAAATCCTTTTCTTTTTCAAATAATCTTTAAACTTATTTTGTTGGATAAATGAGTGAATAGTGAGTAATTCATCATAAGTAGATTGCATAAATGTAAATGATATAAGTTACAGGAATGAAATGGCCACTTAGCCTGGTGGTGACCTCATCAACATAGCATAAGCGGGAAATGCCAGGAAGATCTGTTTTTCAAACCCAGAAGCCTGTAAGTATATATTTACAGCGTAGGCCCCTCTTGACATCCAAAAAAGGAAAAATAAACAAAAAAAAGTAAGTAAATGAAATTTTCTACTACCCAGCAGCTATTGATGGCTTTAAACTTGATGGAAAATTGAATGATCTCAGCATTAAATTACGTATACTTGTATTATCAGATACTTTGATTTTTGTATATGCTGTTATTCTCTTTATAACTAAGGACAGTATGGAAGCCTAAACGACCTTCAAGGAGATCTGTTATTAATCTCTTCATTTCCTATTTGACCCTGTAGTATGTTATAATTCATTGCAGTGCATTATCATTTCACTGTCTTGTGATTTTTACCATATCAACTTCATCAGTTGATGTATTCTGGAAAAGTGTACTGTGAAAGATTAAGAAATTCAGAGTGAATACTGACCATTGTCCTGTAGGACAATTTTTTCTTGTTATCTATGGAAATTGAAGTTGTTTAACCTACCCTACTCTGTGGTTAGAAAAGAACTATTTCCTTTTTTAAGCCTTTAAATATATTCAAAGTCTCAATAGTTAATCCAATCCATCATTATGGCATTATGGCTATTCTTTCTGTTAATGTTGCCGATTTTTCTTTTAAGACAATAGGATCAAATCATCTTACAGCTCTGGTTGATATGACTCTAAGACTTGTTCCTCCTATAAAATTTATTTTGTTTATTTCTCCTTTTGCCTTGACAGTCATGTTCTGTTCGGGACTTTGACGACCATGCCACTCGTGTTCTTGGAAAATTTGAGGTAAAAATGTTGATAATATTCATAACCCACTGATTAAATAAAAGACGATATTGTTTCCAAGACTGGATAATTTGTACTGCATTGGAGTATGTCTGAATATGTTCAACAATCTTCGTCTTGTTGACCTGAGTAATTAAAGAATTTTTTTTTTTCCGCAGACTGGATTCCTATTACAGGCATTCAAGTAGTGCTAGTTATGTGAGAAATGTATCAGTGCCTCTCCTCTGCGTTAGTGCCTTGGATGATCCGGTCTGTACCAGGGAAGCTATTCCATGTGATGAATGCAGGCAAGTCCTAGTATCATATGATCGAACAATTTCTTTTGTTATAATTTTCCATTCGTTTTTTGCGTTCTCTTGAAGCCATGGTATTTTTTGTTGACCACAGAGTTATTTCATGTAGAAACAAAGTTTGCTATAACATTTACCAAATTTTGGTGATATTTTTTTATTTTGAAAAAAGGAAATAATTTTAATATATATGAAGCAGGCCTGGTTTCTCATTCATTTTTGGGGTAAGTGTTAACGGTTACTGTTTTGGTAAGTGTAGATGGTTATCGTTTTATAATAGTTTTACTTTGATTGCATTCACTGGATCCATGGTGTGAGGTTATGGGCCATGGATGATATCAGTTTAGAAACAAAACCTAGTTCTAATATTCACTTAAAAGCGTTGTGAAAATTGGTAAAAAGTTCTGTTACTATGTGACGGCAAAAGGGGGAACGAGGCAGTTATATTATTCTGTCAGAAGGTAGCCTGTTTGACTTCCTGTAGAGCAAATGAAAAGGTTATCCTTGCTACCACGCAACGTGGAGGACACCTAGCTATTTATTAAGGGATAAATGCAAGAAGCCTGTGGTAATTCATGCTTTTTTCATCTGAGCATGTCTGATAACCTTATTTTTCGAAAAGAGAAATAGGGGAAAATGAATCCGACTATAATTTTTTGAAAATCATCATAAACATCCTCTAAAATTTGTTAGAACCTTCCTTAAGGTTTCTTAAAATTTGTCAAAACTATTTTCAAATCCTGGGGTTCACAATAATTAGACCCAATTATGTCAAGTCAATGAAATTTACACTTCATCATAGATTGGTTAATTTTCAATTTTGGAATTAATTATGTTAGCATAGGATGAGTTGAAATAATTTTATCACTGATTAAACTGCATATTGAAGCTCGCATATTGAGATTTCTAGAATTAGGCATCTTACATGTTTTACTTACAGCATTCTTTATAAGGCATATTAATAGAGTAATACTATAGATACCATGTAATATTACGATTTCTCATCTTAAGTGATGGGCCGTCTTTCATAATGCCATCACTTACCACATGAGTTTATTAATTACACATTAGATTTTATGCGGAGCTTACATGAGAGAAGCTGGTAGTAACAATTTTGTCAGATTCGCATAGCTTATTACACAAAGGTGTTCTTTGGCCTCAATTTTAACATGATCTGTGTTTCTTTGCAAGGTGGGTGAGAGCCGTGGATGAATTTCTTGGTGTCTTACAGTCGTCTCCATTAGTAACCAGAGCAAAGAAGGTGCAAAATTGTCGACATAAAACACACATAACCACTGCATCTAAGAAACATAGTACTTATATAGAGAGAAGTTTATAGGATTATATTGCAACTTAGCAACATGATAAAGGGATTTTCTCATCCACTTTTCATTGTTAGTTTCTGGCAAATTATGACCCAGGTTTTTTCGTGGCAGGTTCAGGAGTCTACAGTGCCTGCTCCATCGAAATCTTTGATCGACCAGGGGCCTTATGTGAATGTTGTTGAAGATGGAATGGTTGCCGCTGCAGGCACTGTGGCAATTAACGATGTAGTAGAAGACGCACCAAATGAGTCTGTTGCTCAACTTAATAAAGATCACGATGATGTTTCTTTAGAAACAGAAAATGATGATAAGGTTGCGGGGAAAACGCTTCACGAGAATAACCTCATATCACAATCGCAACAAAATGCTGATGCTGATGATTTAATTGTTCCGATGAGGAGACACATTGATCAGCTTTCACGACACAGCAGGATTTCAATCTGGTTGCTAGTGTTGCTCGCTGTCTCAACAACTTGGCCATTGGTAGGCTCTACTCTTACATTCTTCCTCAAAAGAAGGTTTAAAAGATTCATGCCTACGGCGTCACTTAAAAGATAGTACTCTCTGTGATAATCATAATAAAATTGGATTAAATCATATTTATGCAACTCTAAGAAGAGAGAAATGAAATGTAGAATTTCTGCAAGGTTAATAAAGATGTAGAGAACAGCTTAGTAAAATTAAACTTTTAATCTAGAGTATTAACCTCAAAAGTGAATTTTTAGTAAACCCATATAATATGTAAATGTATTCATCAAATTTATATTAAGAAGAGATATGACTGAGAATTTCTTGAATAATGTAATGTAATGTAACTGCTTATCTTTTTTGAATTATGTTGTGTAATCTTTTATTTCTTTATGGAATAATGTTATGTAATCTTTATGGAATAAGCTAAATCAGCTTACAATAGCTGAAATTCCACTTCTATCTTTTCCAATATTTTGACAAAATTTTCCTTTTTTATCTGTACAAAGTATGCATTCAAAAAGCATATTTACAATCGTTAACATATGCTCAATATCTTTAACATATACTTAACTTAAATGATCGGACTCGTGTTATAGCCTTAACACGTGCTTGATATCTTTAGGATATGCTATTAAAGTTTAAAACAACCAACTTGTGTTATAGTCTTAACATGTGCTTCACATCCTTTAACATAAACTCTTGAAAACTCGTTATAGCCGTAACACGTGCTTCATATCAATTATATATGCTCTTAAAACATCCAAACTCATATCATAACCTTTAACATGTGCTTGATATTCTGAACATATGCTCTTAAGGACACTCTTACATGTGTTTAATCATTAATGTTCTTAACATTTGCTTAAAAAGTGTTAAAAGATCACCCAAATTCCACAAGAAAATTGATTGTAATGCACAAAGATAGATTCATATCCTGCACTGCTATGCATAATAAATTCAATCCTTTCGACAGACAATAACCCAGTGAGTTAGATGAGAGATAAGGCAACTGCATATTATTATATCAAATCCTTATCAAAGTAAAACCGTTCACCTCCCCAAAAATACCACATGACTTCAAACATGCTCCAAAATGATGTAAAAAGAGTCATTCAAGATAATCTTTTTAATGGTTTTTAAAGCATCCAATTTTGGTGCCTTTCAAAACCCACAATGATGTGGTAGTGTTGGAGACTAGCTGATACAAGGAGCCGAAGTTCACAGCCATAGGATACAAAAAGGCCAAAATCCTATGTAAGGCTGGGTAGCCAACTACAATGTCAGAGGGCAATCAAGAAATAAACCAGAAGGCGAATTCCAGAATGCTGCGTAACAGAACTTGAAATTGTGGAGTAAGCCCAGGTTATATCTTTTATCCTAGATTTGCTATCTTCATTTGACACAGGAGAAATCATCTAGTGAGCTCGTGTCATCTTTACCCTAGGCATTCCTTTCTTCATTTGACGAGCACGTTCTTTTGCATCCTTCCTGCGAATAGCCTCAGCACTGAGCTTTGCCTCAGCCTCCTCCACCATCTTTCTCCTTTCTGCCTTCTTTTTCTGCAAGGCTTCTTGCCTAGCATTCTGAAGTTCTTTATATGCCTCTTGGGCAGCCTTCTGTCTGGCTGCTTCTGTTTTGGATCGAGCCTGCATTTACATGATTCATAGCTTTAAAAAATATAACTAACATGGCATACAAGTAAAATCAAATTATAGCAAATTCACACACCTGTGGGCTGAGCTTGTATCGTCCAATTAGATCAATGTAATAGGGTACAAGGGCCACCAACCGGCTCATATCACCAATGTTGTTGGCATCAGGAAGGGCAAATTTAAATAACAGCATCTTCCTATGTGTGCCAGGGTGTTGATCAGAAAAATGCATTGAAATGAAACCCTTCCCGTATTTTTCAAAAGCTTTGTCGCCAAAAACCTGCAAAATAACAATTGCAATTTATATTGCCTATTCCAAGGTGACATATCAGCACAAAACCTAACAAACTAAGCATAAGGCAACAAGAGCAACATGTGCATAAGCTAATGGGACAAAACGTACAGTACAAGCAACTAGAATGAAGCACAATAAACACAATAATTTTCAATTTCCCAAAAATGCATTCAGTTCGAAAATACACAAGAAAAATAGAAATATGCTCTTTAATATTTAAAAGTTGAAATGCCATTAATACCAAATGCTTAAGCTTATAGGAAGAAACAAAATTGGATCCAATCACAAGCACCAAACTGGTTTAGTGGGCTAATTTGCCTTAATAGGTCATGTCTATTTGTGGGGCTCTCCAGTCACATTGACCCAGGATCAAATTCATTACATTGACCAAAAGTACACATCAACAGTTCTGAGCCAAACGAGCTTGGCTATGCAACATTTAAAGCATTGAGGGGCTGCTTGACACACTCATGTAGAGTAGAATTTTGCTCCTATAAAGGCCTACTTGGCCATAAGGGCCAAACAGATATATTGGATTTTGAAAGGATTGCTTGAGCAGCTATTGATACAGGATCAGTCTCAAGAAAGCAGCCACTTGGCTCAGCATTACATGCTAATGACTTACTTCAGGGCTATGAAAGATAGTTGCTATTAGGCAAGTTCATTTAGTGCCCAATCAGACTCTGGAATATTGAACTTAACAGATGTCCCAACAAAAGAGAAAGACAATGTCAAACAAGATGAAACAAGAGAAGTAATTTCTTTTATAATTACAAAAAACCATTTCTTCACTGAAAATTTTGCCTCTCCCCTAAATAAAAGCAGTAAACAACACCAAAGAGTTTCAATTCAATGCATCAGGTGACATGGAACAATAATTTCACATCAACTAACATGAATTCAAGCACCAATGCAACACAAGTCCATGACAAACAATAATTGAGTCAAAAAATGAAACATCTACATGACATGATCTTCAACCAAATAATCAACAAAAAAGGGAAACAGAAAACATATATATCAAAAAAATCCATCTAACCCCCAAGAAATTACAGCAACAAATAGTTAAACAAAAGCTAACAAGGTGACCTAGTATAATCAATTTAAGGAAATCCCATATGCAAATTACATGAACAAAAATTTACTAACAAATGAAAGCCAACTATTCATATAAGAACCAGCCGGAAACTAATTAATACCTGCTACCAAGAGACAACTTTAAATAAAACTAGTAATTCTCATTAATCACCACAAATACTCACATTTTCTTCTAGCTAATTAAATACCAATCAAAACACCTCAAATAGATCAACAACTAAACCATCTACACACAAAAATTTCCAAAAGGACTCACATCAAATCATCAAAACAACCAAAGCTAACAAATAACAAAACGTTCATACTACCATAATAAAAAAGTACCATATCTATATGAAACAATCTTTCAAGCAATTACAAGAATCAACATTGTCTTCAAAGATGATTAAAACGTCTCAATAAGATCAACAAGTAGAGCACATTTAAAAAATACTAACACCAAATCATCAGAAAAACAAAGCTAACAAAAGGGTCATTCTACCATACTTGAAAACTACCAATTACATCCCATGCGACATACTTATCTTTACCAAATAATATACGAGGTTCCAACATTCATAATATCCATCAAATAAAAAACAATAACAAAATCCCAACCTGATCGAGCACCGCCTCGGTGATCAAATCCCCAGCAACCTCCCTACTCTCTGAAACAACCCCCAAATCCTCCACCACCCATTTCTTCGGTGCCGGCGGCGCTGTTATCAATCCTGCAAACTTATTCAAGTCCCTAACCTCCTTCTGCATGGTTTTTGCCGTTTTCTTCTTCGCCATCGCAAACACCACATGATCCATGGAATCATCATTCATATAAACCTCAAAAGTAATCTCATCCTTACACGGCACCACCAAATTATACAATCTCGATATCAAATCGTGCCGGCCCTTCAACTCCATCGTCGCCAACAACCCCGAACAATACCTCCTCCCGCTCGCGTAAAATTTAAACACATTTTGCCCCTCTTTCAACAACAAAGGCGAGTCATCTCCTTCTCCCACACCTAATAGACTAAAATTTTTCTCGAAAATCGAATTTTTCGTGGCAAATTTCGTCGCCCACGCCAGAGCAAGATTCTCATTCTCCCGTTTTCCTGTGAAGTAATTAATTATAAACATGATCAAAAACGTCACACAAACGATCTCCACCGTGTACGAATTCTTCTTCAAAACGGCGACGTTTTTAGCTTCTTCAGTCATTTTGGGATCTGGTGTTTGATCCGTACTCGCAGCAGATTCAGTAACTGCTGGGGTTTCCAATTGGGGTTGTTGATGAACGGGTAAGCCTTCGAACTCATCTTCGTCCCAGTAATCAAACGACGTCGTTGGAGCCGAGGGCTTCAATTGAGGATCCGTAGATGTGGGAGTCGGGTTAGGGTTTGGATTCGGATCCGGATCCGATTGGGGATCTGGGGAATCGAGATTGGTTGTGGTTGTGGTGGTGGTGGTGGTGATGGGTGGAGATGAGGTGGACTCGGACTGAGTCAGGGGGAGATCGGTGACTCGGTGGAGCGAGTCGAGGTCGACAGGCTCATCCTCTACGACGTCANAGTTCATTTAGTGCCCAATCAGACTCTGGAATATTGAACTTAAACAGATGTCCCAACAAAAGAGAAAGACAATGTCAAACAAGATGAAACAAGAGAAGTAATTTCTTTTATAATTATAAAAAACCATTTCTTCACTGAAAATTTTGCCTCTACCCTTAATAAAAGCAGTAAACAACACCAAAGAGTTTCCTTTCAATGCATCAGGTGACATGGAACAATAATTTCACATCAACTAACATGAATTCAAGCACCAATGCAACACAAGTCCATGACAAACAATAATTGAGTCAAAAAATGAAACATCTACATGACATGATCTTCAACCAAATAATCAACAAAAAAGGGAAACAGAAAACATATATATCAAAAAAATCCATCTAACCCCCAAGAAATTACAGCAACAAATAGTTAAACAAAAGCTAACAAGGTGACCTAGTATAATCAATTTAAGGAAATCCCATATGCAAATTACATGAACAAAAATTTACTAACAAATGAAAGCCAACTATTCATATAAGAACCAGCCGGAAACTAATTAATACCTGCTACCAAGAGACAACTTTAAATAAAACTAGTAATTCTCATTAATCACCACAAATACTCACATTTTCTTCTAGCTAATTAAATACCAATCAAAACACCTCAAATAGATCAACAACTAAACCATCTACACACAAAAATTTCCAAAAGGACTCACATCAAATCATCAAAACAACCAAAGCTAACAAATAACAAAACGTTCATACTACCATAATAAAAAAGTACCATATCTATATGAAACAATCTTTCAAGCAATTACAAGAATCAACATTGTCTTCAAAGATGATTAAAACGTCTCAATAAGATCAACAAGTAGAGCACATTTAAAAAATACTCACACCAAATCATCAGAAAAACAAAGCTAACAAAAGGGTCATTCTACCATACTTGAAAACTACCAATTACATCCCATGCGACATACTTATCTTTACCAAATAATATACAAGGTTCCAACATTCATAACATCCATCAAATAAAAAACAATAACAAAATCCCAACCTGATCGAGCACCGCCTCGGTGATCAAATCCCCAGCAACCTCCCTGCTCTCTGAAACAACCCCCAAATCCTCCACCACCCATTTCTTCGGTGCCGGCGGCGCTGTTATCAATCCTGCAAACTTATTCAAGTCCCTAACCTCCTTCTGCATGGTTTTTGCCGTCTTCTTCTTCGCCATCGCAAACACCACATGATCCATGGAGTCATCATTCATATAAACCTCAAAAGTAATCTCATCCTTACACGGCACCACCAAATTATAAAATCTCGATATCAAATCGTGCCGGCCCTTCAACTCCATCGTCGCCAACAACCCCGAACAATACCTCCTCCCGCTCGCGTAAAATTTAAACACATTTTGCCCCTCTTTCAACAACAAAGGCGAGTCATCTCCTTCTCCCACACCTAATAGACTAAAATTTTTCTCGAAAATCGAATTTTTCGTGGCAAATTTCGTCGCCCACGCCAGAGCAAGATTCTCATTCTCCCGTTTTCCTGTGAAGTAATTAATTATAAACATGATCAAAAACGTCACACAAACGATCTCCACCGTGTACGAATTCTTCTTCAAAACGGCGACGTTTTTAGCTTCTTCAGTCATTTTGGTATCTGGTGTTTGATCCGTACTCGCAGCAGATTCAGTAACTGCTGGGGTTTCCAATTGGGGTTGTTGATGAACGGGTAAGCCTTCGAACTCATCTTCGTCCCAGTAATCAAACGACGTCGTTGGAGCCGAGGGCTTCAATTGAGGATCCGAAGATGTGGGAGTCGGGTTAGGGTTTGGATTCGGATCCGGATCCGATTGGGGATCTGGGGAATCGAGATTGGTTGTGGTTGTGGTGGTGGTGGTGGTGATGGGTGGAGATGAGGTGGACTCGGACTGAGTCAGGGGGAGATCGGTGACTCGGTGGAGCGAGTCGAGGTCGACAGGCTCATCCTCTACGACGTCATCTTCGGCGTCGAAGCCTTCGAAGTGGGAATCGGAGGCGAGGAGGGGAGTGAAAGAGAGAGAGAAAATTAAGAGGGAGAGAAAGAGTGAGAGAAGACTGTGAGACTTCATTGTGATGAAGAAGATTGAGAGCGCGGTTGAGTCACCGTTAGATTCAAAAAGAGAAAGTAACTGACATGCTGAAGTTGAAGAAGAAGGAAGATGGGGCGAAAAATGATTGGGAGCAACAAGAAGAAGAGATAGTGATGGCAATATGAGCAAATAGAGGAGGACAAATGTGTAATATTCTGGGATATTTGGGGGAAAATGATGTTTAGCAAACATGTCATATTTTATTGCAGAAATATCATGTTTTAATTTATGTTTTCCTTAAAATTATAATTTTTAATAATCTTTATCATATAATCTAAGAAGTTATATAATTTCTTTTTTAATCAATGTGTTAATAAATTTCATAACTACATGCTAAATATAGTCATTTTACATAAGGGGTAGGGATGACAATTTGCCTTGTAGATTCACCCAACTAAAGCATCAACCTTAATAAGATGACTTTAGTTAACTATTAATGAGTTCAATATAGATATGAGATTAAAAATTAGGTAAATTTTTTTTTTTTTTTTTATGGATAATTGAGGTGTTCGAGTCAACTTGCGTGTAATTCAACTAATTCTCGAGGTCACAAATGTGATAAGTCGAATCCCCAATGTCACAAATGTGATAGGTCGCACACAAGACCTCTAGATAACTTATCCGAATGAATAAAGTCTTGTCGTCCAATTACAAGATCTCTAGGTAACTTACCCAAAAGAAAAAAAAAAAAAAAAACTAGATAGGTTATGAAATTATTTTTGGTTGTTAAGATTTGTTAGAAACCACATTGTTTAGATGTGTATAAGCCTAAAAAGAAAAATAGTGTTAATTTGTTGTTGTTGATGATTTATATTTGTTATATTACTAAATTAAAAAAGAACATTTAAAGGTATTTATGTTTGGATCTTATATGTTAATTTAAGTTAGTTAATTTTTTGGTTTGAAAATGGACCCAAAAGTAAGCAATCCCTTAAGTAAAGATGGGCGTTTTACCCGTCCCGCTGGGGCCTCGCCTCGAACCGGTCAAGGATTCCCCAAAAACTTCGAGGATGCGGTGGGATATGGGGAGAAGAGTATTCCCTGAGTGTAGGGGTGGGGTGGGTTTGGGGATGCATATATCCTCGCGAGGCCTTGCCCCATCTTGAAAATATATAAGTAATTAATTATATGTTTTATAAAATTTTGTATAAAATAATAGATTTTGTGGAAAATAATCATCCTATGAATCATGTGATGCAATCAAATTTTGTAATTATTATCTTAAATTTATTATTGAATATTTTAATTTATGTAATAAAAGTAACTGTAAGGTATAAAATAAATATATTTTGATATTTGATTAATGTTTAACAATTTATTATGTTTTATAAGGATATCTAATACTTTTGAGTAAAGATTAATAATTCAAAATGGTTTCAATAATATATCTCTATCTCAGTCTCTCCCTTTCTAATTAACAGATTAAGTAATTATGTTTTAGTGCCAATTTTTGATATATTTCTTGAATATTATAAAACTAATCACTATTGAAATCTTCAATAATGGAATAATATTTCCATTATGTGAAGTTTTATTATTTTTATTATCATTAATGTAATGAATTAATGAATCATATTAATTTATTCTTAAATATAAATAAAATATATTATGTCACTATACATTTTAATTTAATAATTTGTAAATTAAATATAAGTTGTTAACGTATTAACATAATCTAATAGATGAACAAGTCTATTATACGACCAAGTTTGGTGTTACATAAAAATTGGAACTCTTAATCTTAAATGTATGAAATTACAAGTCTAAAACTCCAAATTGTCCATTGTCAAAAGTTATTAAATTATTAATTTATTTGTTTATTGGAAAAGATTGATTAATATTAAATACATTTATAATTAATTGAAAATATTATATAACTGGTAACCGTCTAAATTGATTAAAAGAAAATAATAATAAAAATTCAGGTTAAAGAAAACAGTTAAAAAATCTAATATATATATATAATTGGTTTGTTATAATTAAAAATTAATTTCTTAAATTGACATGTTTTTCATACGTAATTAGCTTTTATTTAAGTGGAGTATATAGTTTATAGTATAAACTTTATATGTAAATAAAAACTCAATTTTATCCTCAAAATATTCTTATAAATAAACTATAGTCTATGGGTATTGATTAATTTGGTTCATGTAATCAAATGGTCTAATTTTTTAATATTTAAAGTGTTTGATTGCATGTTTACAAATACGTTTATTAAAATCACCATGCATATTGAATAAATGCCATGTGAGGATTAATCCCCATACAAGGGGAAAATTCCCCGTGGGTATTATCAACCGAAGAGGGCGGGTTGGAGATGGGGACCATCTCATCCCTGTGGGATGGGGATTCCTCGACACTTCCAACTTAGGTACTAGTCAAGTATGTGTGCTTCCTCAAGGGGTTGGGTATGCGTACGGGGGACCCATTCCTCGGCCCCGCCCCGACCTGCGCCATAACTACTCTTAAGGCATGAATATGTTATCGTCTTAGTTGCTCTAGGAAAGATCAGTAAATAAAAATGAACATGTGATAACTCCATTGCAATGCAAGTATGAGATTTTCTTTCATAAATGGACTCAGTTATCCATTAATTATCATATATCCGAAATTAAAAATTTATATGCTGTATATCAAATTCTACTTTATAAAATATATTTTTGGTAATGCTTTGCTACCCATATGAGGCAGATATTGTAATTTTATATTCCAAATCAAAGTAGAACTGATTTGATAACATAACCTTGGTTTTAAGAAGAAAAAATAAGTAAACTAACTCTAGGGTAGCATAGGATTTTTTTTTTTTTTTTTTTTTTCTAGGAATTGAGGGTGTCAGACCAGCTTGTGCACACCTTAATTAGTCCATTGGAGTCTTAAAGTTAATGGACCAAGTAAACCTCCAAAGGCCACCCCTATCAGCAACTAAAGAGAATTAAATTTAAGATTCTTGAGTAATACACCTAATAGTCTGTAATATCTACATCGAGGTACGTAGCTTTACGTATTCCCTAATACCCTTAGTTGAATTTCGTTAAAGTTATCTTGAACAAGTGTGAAGAAAATGTCTTAAAATTTCATTAGGAATAAAATGCTCTTTTCACTCATAATTAGTTGAAAAAGTGGGGACTGAAAAGAGATAGAATTTCATGGAGAAGTTAATAAAAATGAGGGCATTATTATAATTGACTAAGGGACATAGATGGAATTTCATAGAAAGTGCAAGGGCAAAATGGAAAAGTAGAAGTAATAAATGAGATATTTTGAATTCATTCTTGAAAACTCTATCATTCTCTACTCTCTCACACGCCACTTTCATCTCCAAATTCTCTCATTTTCTTCATCAAATTTCCGAGGCAATTTAGAGGATTTTTGGTTGGATTTTGGTAGATATTCAATCCTAAGCATCCAAAGGTAAGAGTTCTTGCAATATGATGTGAGATTAATTTTTAAAGTGTTGAATTCTTATAGTTATATGCTTAGGGTTTAAGAAGAAGAGGAGATCTACCCAAAGAGAGAGTTTCTAGTGTGGAACTACCCAAGATCAAGGCAAGTAAATCCAACCCTAAGTTTGATTTGAGTAAGTTTGTAGAGATTTGTACATGTATGTATGTGCTTATGTTTTTGAGAAGTTTTGATGAGATTGATACTTGATGATAATTAAAATTCAGCCATGAGAATGTAGACTTTGCCTATATGGTGATTGATGGAAGTTTGGTTGAATTTAGAAAGAGTTTGAGTAGACTTTATGGAGTGTAGTTTCCTGGCCAGGTTTAGTGTTGATTTAATGGAGTTTTGCTCCAAATATTGGTGGCTTGAGAAAGAAGTAGAAGTGTAGCCAAATAGAGTTTGAGTATGCATGCAATTTGTTTGATGAAAATCCTAAGAGAAAACATATTACCATGGTTGCCCTGTCACAGCCATGACCTTCTGAGTGATTTTTTGGCATGTTACTGATTGAACTAGGTTGAGACCTAAACATAAAAGTTGTAGCCCTACTCTAAGCTTTAAAATGAAAGTAATATCGTAGCAATGCGATCTGTATAACTCGAGATATGTCTTCTTTAATATGACATGTGCAGAATGACTACCTCAAAATATTTTTTAGTCTAATAATCTATGATTGATTTCAAGTATGGGAATGTTGTTGGTAGAAAATACTAGTTCTCTGATGATATTTTAATATGCCATAATGCATTCTCATATTCTCACATTTGCATTTAGAAAGAACAGCAAAGAATGAGCATAGTTCCATGCACATACACATGGATGAGAATAGTAAAGAATAAAGAAAAAGAAAGAAAAGAATTAATTGTAAAAAGATAAGAGAAGATAAGGTTGTTGCGATGGGGAACCCGTGAGTGACAGAGAAGAATAGTCCCACATACACGCCGCCTTCAGTGAGTGGCCTCGGAATAAGAAAGAAGTAAGTGTATAGTTCGTTAGAAGTGTATGTGGATGAGAACTATACCAACATAATTTACCTACATGCACGCCGCCTTTAGTGAGTGGCCTTAGAATTAGAAAGAAGAGTTGTATAGTCCGATAGAAGTGCATATAGATGAGGACTGTACCCACTCACATGGCCAGGGTTCTGAATCCATGCCTCAACCAAGTCCGATTGGCATAGAAAGAAAGAATAGAAAGAAAGACAGAAGAGAAAGAAAGAAAGAGTAAAACACAGAAAGAAAGAACATAATAGAAAGAAAGAAAGAATAGAACACAGAAAGAAAGAAAGAACATAATAGAATAGAAAGAAAGAAGAGAAACATAAAACAGAAAAGAAATTGCATTCTTTATGCATTTATGCACATGCACCATGGCATTCATATTATTCAGAATTAGTTTCTCCAGTTGTGCTTACATGTTAGTAAGTGAGAAACAAGAATAGAGAAAGAACAGAGAGATAAAACATAAAAAGAATAGAGAAAGAACAGAGAAGAAGAGAGAAGTGTGATGTAAGGAAAGAATTCAGAATATGAGCAACAAAGATAGAAGGGTAGCATAGCGGGTTTACTTACTGAGCAATTAGTGCTGATTCCATTGTTTTCAATGTTTTTGCAGGTAGTAGATAAGATGCAGTCGCTTGGAATGTCAAGATGCGGAAGG